CGAAATATTTCCCTCTATTTTTATAGGCTGTTATCACAATATGAATGTCGCAAAATTCATAAAGATTCTCAAATATGACGACATCCTCGGTATGATGATGAAATACACTCGGCAGCAAGGCCTCTGATCAGGAGATGTTTTCAACAGCATGGAACCACTTTTTAATTGCTGCTGTTCCCAGGTCCACCCGGATACAGGTGGTAGCACCTGTTAGGGTCCCAGTTATGGGCAAATAGTTAACCCCCCAACTGGGTAAAAAAAAAAAAAACTGAAAGTATAAAAATACATTTTAACAATAAAAATACCAACAATACATTTTCATAGTAAAAAAAAAATTACCATCAATACATTTTTGAAAAAAATTATATTACCAGCAATACGTTTCTTTCTTAAAAGAAATTACTAATGCTTGAAAGAAAACTTAATTTCGGCATTAAATGACTCATAATGTGTTGGTATGCTGCTAAACAATGTTTTTGAAAAGCCGTTAGAAATTTACAAAGTAAAATGAAACTGCTTTGAGATTTAAACTAAACTAAGAATCTCGCTTGTATATATTTTATATACTCTAAGGTTCATACGCGAAATTCATTATGTGTGCGCACAGTATAGGACTTAAGCCAACGTCTTCTAGAGTCAGTTTAAACTGACACATTTTCCCATGTATTGTGACTATTTTTGTAAAGTTTGTATTGAACTGAAATAAAAATTTTTTTTAAAAAAACTGTAAATTTTCAAACATTTCCGTGAAATTTTCATTTTTCCGAAGTTATCTTTTTCTCTCCGTATAAATTATATCTGATTAAATTGATGCTATAAGGATATGGGTTACATTAGATAAGCAGGCTACAACTTGTGCCTCACAATTTAAAAAAAAAAAAAAAATTACAAAATTATGACAATGTTGTTATTTTAATAAGGAGCCTCCAAACTTTTAAGTCTGAATTTGATTCTATTTGTTTCTTTCAACGATATCGAATATGTCATTTTTTTTTTTTTTTTTTTTTTTTTACATGAATAAATAAATGTACATGTGTGAGTAGTATGATTACTTCAGATCTTGTGAAATTTATCTCCCTTTGTTTGGAACTCAGCAGTGCTTATACCGTTTGGGTGCGATAATTCCCGGAGGAAATCCCTTTTTGGGGCCGACTCCGAACACGTGTCTCCATCGACCAATGGGAGCCCGTCTTAGTTTTTTGAACTCTGCGTCTGCGAAAAAGGACCGTTTGACGCTCTTTCATCACGAACGAAGAATGAACGTCGGCTTGTCTTTCTGCTGGATTTATTACAGTGCCTGTTCGAATATCGACGAAAAGTTGATAGGCCTGAAAAAAAGAAGATATTTCTCATACCAGCTTAAGACACGACCCAGAAAATATTGTGAAAGGCATTTTCCAGAAAATTCTCCAAATTATTGGTTAGGCCTTGTTTTTAGTCATCATATTTCTGCAAATGCCAGAATTTCCACTTGCAACTTTACGTTTGTTCAATTGAACGTGGTAAGAGCACAGCACCCTTTTACTTCTTTTAGAAGTCCTTTAATAATATCTAGTTTCTGTTATAGACAAGCGTATGGTTGCAAGAAGGAAATACGACATCGGCAGAAATAATTTACGTGATTTATTTCAATAGGAACGTGTGGGTTTGGGACAGCTACATTGTGGTATAGTTCATAAGCCGGCTCCCGGTCTGGGCTGATCTCTCATAGTAGTTCGCACTGGTTGGCGTGGTGCCCCTCCTGCTGACTGACCGTGACAGGTCTCTTCCCTGGCCTCCTGTTGACTGCTCTTGTACTTCCCCGTGTGATCCCTTTAATGGCGTTTTTTATGGCTTAACAGGCTCGTAAAACGACGCGAGTATAATTAGGAGGGAAGCATTTTTATTGGTCGAAAAATAGAAACACATTAAAATATTTTATTTTTCGACCGGAACTCGTGTGTCGGGCAATGCGTAAACGACGATAATGGTCATTTTGTGACGGGGCCTTGTCCCGTTCACATCCGGCTCTCGCTCTTGAGTATGTTAGTTTATTTGCCTGCAAATCAGCCGAGATATGTCTTTTATTTTACATCATTTCTATCAGGGAAATTAGATTATTTGACTGGAAACCTCCTTTTCTACAAGGAGCCTTTTGTATCTACATTCTTTCAACTGTAAACTTTCTTCACAAGAACTTTGTCATACATCGCATTTTTGCTACACGGCTTTTAAAACATCTTTGCTTCCCAAAAGCACGAACTCTGTTAGAGAGAATTTTTCTCTTATTTTGCAAGAATTATTTTCTTTGTTCGTGAACTTTGGGTAGGTTTCAATCCTACTTCTTTCCCCTTTTGTATGTTACTTGGTGCCAAAAACTATTCTCGTGGACGCATACAGGAAATTGTTTGCAAACCTGCTTTTTATTTTTGTGTTAATTATTGTATCTTTTTATACTGTTAATTTCTTTAATAATCCACTTCGGAGACTCCTAAAATAAATTCTTTGCAAATCTCAAACAAGACCTTTTAGTGTGTTAAACCCTTTTGTTTTCCTTATTTTGCCGCACAGAATTTTTGATTTGACGGTTGAATTTATCAGGAAGAAGATAAATTCCGATAACAACAAAGATTGTGTTTTGCAAAATAAATAAAAGCGATCGGCCAGTATATCCTTCAATTAGTGCGCTCAGTATGGTGGGGGAGGAGTGTATAGTGGGTCAGCCAATTTGTATTGGTTATAAATAGAAATAAAAACTGACCCTCTACAATCTTTACAATATCAAATGTAACAAAGACAACAAGAGAAATAATCTGAAGAAATTGTGAATTTGTTCAACAATAAATATTTTTTATAAACACAACAAATACATAATATATAGTGCAAAGGACGAAATGTGTGTGAATATTCTGTATGTGCGTGCGTGTGTGAATATTGTGCTTAGCGTGTTTCCACGCTATCCCTTGTTAGCGCCTACATTTCGAGGTTGATAGCTGAAATCCTGAAGGAAAAAGATAGAGGCGAAGAGTCAGCGGCTATTTATAGCCAGGGAAGAGACCCCTGGTGAAAGGGTTAACGGAGTGAAGGAGGAGTTAACTCCGACAAGTGAAAAGAAATAGAGAAAAAATATTAATAGCATTATCAACCCCCTCTTCGGAGTTTAATGTTGATTTTATCCTTTCATCGGGTGGCTTGAGAGGAATTTCTTTAAATAATTTCCATTTTCCTAACTAATTTCAATTTTACTATCAAGCTGTCTGATCAGTGGATATCATCTCCACGAGACTCCGAATAGACATAAGTTGTACATGTCATTTTTTTTCTCTCTCAAAAAAATCTTAACTGGTTGCATGTAACTTCATTTACATGCATACTATCGTCCTCATATTTCTTATTAAAATGTAACACACTCTCGTCTTCGTGTTTCTCGATCCAGATAACCTTCAAGGAATTTCGAAGTAAAACTTTTATTTAATCTACGGAAATATTGTTCTCATTCCGATGTCTATGTCTAGGGGAGATAACTTGCCTAGTTCTTATAGAATACTGTACTCGAAGGCTAGAGGAGATAATGGCCGAAACATTGGGATAACAGCAGCAAAGATAGGGACGATAGTCTGCGTGTAAATAACTCCTCATCCCAGATATTCAAACAGAAATTGCTGTTCTTATTGATGGGTTTATATATATATATATATATATATATGTGTGTGTGTTGGGGGGGTGAATGAGATCGACTGAACTGTGCGTCAAAAAAGTCAGAAATCTTAAAAAATTAGCACTTCTACATCTTCAGCGTGTCCCCACGGTACATAACCAACATTTCCGTTTATATATATATATATATATATATATATATATATCCGCCTACATATCTAATCCTATCAATAAGAACATTAATCTGATGAAGTCCTTTTAGAAAATAAAATACTATACATAGAATGTCGTAGATGACATTAAAGAGAATGTGATGAGGTAGCTGATGGCAACCCTGAAAGACATTGCAGAATGTTTTGAAAATTAGAAGGAAAGCTGGAATAAATATGAGAAAGGAAGTATTTTGAAAAGAAATATTGCTTCATTGTATTTCCTCGGTATATCAATTCAGTTTCGCGGAGTACCACAACATTTCGTTATCCTTCAACTTGCTGTAGGATATCGGCTGGCATAAATGTTGGAGTTACCAGGAACCGCCAGATTCAGATTTTTCCCTAGAGCCTATTATTAATCGGGACGCGGCATTTCACTGCTGGTGTCGACCCGTCCACTATGGGTGGCCCTATCAGAAACTGACATTCCCGACGGCTTACCTCAAGCAGGACACCGTTATCACAAATTCACCACGTTGAGGTCAAGAGATAAACTTTAAGAATGTGAGTGGAAATAAGACTTCGTTTCTGTGGGTTAGCTGTTTATTTTTCCTTAATACGAAATGGTTTCATACTTTCCAGACAGACATCGTTTGCGTAATATTCAATAATTTTATCGGACATCTGGCCCTGACAAGCATTTTGACTAGAAACTCTGGGGTCGGTTAGAAGATAAATCCATATTACAAACACTCGCACACATACATTGTCCAGGGTTTGATAATAAACTATATCCGGCAGCAAGGCCTCAGATCGAGAGGTTTTGAGCAGCGTGGGTCCACCTCTTAATTGCTGTTGTTCTCAGGTCCACCATGACACAGGGTGGTAACATCTGTTAGAGTCCCAGCTATGGGCAAATAGTGAAAACCAAAACTGATCAAAAATATAAAAATAGATGAGAAAAAATTACTAGCAATACTGTCGGAATTATCTCACCGACGAGTAAGGGAGTGGGGAAAGGAAAGACGGTTTCAAGGCTTGCAACGAAAAGTCTGACGTTGCTTACAAGCGAAGTCTTCCTTGTAACGGTAACAAAAGTCAATGACTAGTAACACTCGGTACTCTCCTCTGCGTAACAAGTGAGCTCTACAACGGATCTGTAGAGAAAAAGAAACTGAACTTGCGACTGAAAGTAGCACCTTTTAAATTCTCATGGTCTCGTTCAACGTCATACGACGAGACCAGAGCGTCTATAAAAATCGTCAATCCTTTGGCCATGGTTCGGCCCGGGAGAAAATTATTATTTTAGATGCCGACGCCGCCAGAGCACATACTTCCCCCTCCCGACCTACCCTCGGTGAGTACAATATATTGTTCTTTTTTTAGTCACCACAATACATCTTTGGTGGGGAGACCAAACCTCACAAGAAAATTAAACTTCACCTTTAAAAGACCCATAAAGAGGCTAAAGGTCGGCTGTTAAACTAACAAAAACCACACATACACACTACATTAGTATAAGAGATTAGATCCACTGAAATAAGTATTTTCTTATTATAATTACATTAGTAAAATTCAAAGGAGAAAGATGTGCTAGTTTCAATTCAATGTGGCTGCAACATTAATATTGGTCTTAATGCATTTAGTATATTACTTGCACAAGAGGATTGTAGATAACTTCTCAACTATTTGTGGGTTAAAGATGTACTCCTGGGTATGACGATAAACTACATCCGGCAGCAAGGTCTCTGATCTGGAGATTTTGAGGAGTATGGAACCACCTCATAATTGCTGTTGTTCCGAGGTCCGCCGTGACCCGGCGTGGTAGCACATGTTCGTGTCCCAGCTATGGGCAAATAGTGGACACCCAAACTGTGGTCAAAACATTATGAAAGTATACAAATACATTATTATAGTAAAAATACCAGCAATACGTTTTTGTAAAAGAAATTACTAATGCTACTAAGAAAATTAAATATCAGCATTAAACGGCCCATAAAGAATTGATATGCCGCGAAACAAAAATTTAAAGCACAAACATTTTGAACTGAGATTTCTTTCCTTTTTGAAAGGGAATATTGCATTAACAATTCTTTGAGAATGACAGTGATTTAGTTAGTTTATGGCACAACGTAATTTTCCAGGTAGAAAACGTTTTAATTATCTTGAAAATGAGCATTAAAAACCTTAGCTTTTAAACATGTCTCTGTAAGATACACGTATTATTTTTTCTGTATACAAAACAAATATACTGTTTAAAGCAATGTCAGATTAAATAAATCTTTTAATTGCTTTAAATTACTTTGCATTTCGGGTATGAAAATAAAGCTGTTGCGGAATTCCAAATGAACGTCGGAGTTATCAATAAGATATAGTGTGTCTAGGTCTCTCACCACATTTAATTTTTGTTTAGGAACCCAAACTGATATAAGGACAAGGCAAAAGTATCTGTATCTCTCTCTCTCTCTCTCTCTCTCTCTCTCTCTCTGTATCTCTCTCTCTCTCTCTGTATCTCTCTCTCTCTCTGTATCTCTCTCTCTCTCTCTCTCTCTCTCTCTCTCTCTGTCTCTCTCTCTCTCTGTATCTCTCTCTCTCTCTGTATCTCTCTCTCTCTGTATCTCTCTCTCTCTGTATCTCTCTCTCTCTGTATATCTCTCTCTCTCTCTCTGTATATCTCTCTCTCTCTCTCTCTGTATATCTCTCTCTCTATCTCTCTCTCTCTCTCTCTGTATATCTCTCTCTCTGTATATCTCTCTCTCTCTCTGTATCTCTCTCTATATATCTCTCTCTCTCTCTGTATATCTCTCTCTCTATATATCTCTCTCTCTCTCTGTATATCTCTGTCTCTCTCTGTATCTCTCTCTCTCTGTATATCTCTCTCTGTATATCTCTCTCTGTCTGTATCTCTCTCTCTGTATATCTGTCTCTCTCTGTATCTCTGTCTCTGTCTGTATCTCTCTGTATATCTCTGTCTCTGTCTGTATCTCTGTCTCTGTCTGTATCTCTCTCTCTGTGTATCTCTGTCTCTCTCTATATCTCTCTGTCTCTCTCTCTCTGTCTGTCTGTATCTCTCTCTCTGTCTGTATCTCTGTCTCTGTCTGTATCTCTGTCTCTGTCTGTATCTCTGTCTCTGTCTGTATCTCTGTCTCTGTCTGTATCTCTGTCTCTGTCTGTATCTCTGTCTCTGTCTGTATCTCTGTCTCTGTCTGTATCTCTGTCTCTGTCTGTATCTCTATCAACAAAGCGTACAATAAAAATATATGCGAAAAAGAAACATGCAATTAGTCAGACAAGAGTAGTCTCTCTTTGACTATAAAAGTTTATCAATGTTCTCTGAAAAGGAAATGAAAGTTATTAGTCTGTTATAAGTGCTTTAGACAGTTCTGCCGTGTAAGAGGAAAATTATGTAAGTGATAGAATATGTAATTTGAGAGTGAGTGAGAAGATGGGCGCATGTCTTCGACTGAGGTAGATTCAAAGTCGAAAATTTACTATATGAAAATATAGCGATTTTAAAATTGTCTCCAGATAGCAGCGTTGCTTTCTGTCCAATGAATGAATAATGTTAAAGATTTGAATTTGTAAGGGTGTGTGTGTGCGCGATGATGATGATGATCGCTATAAAACGAACAAATATAGATTCAAAAGTTCTCAGTAAAAGATGTGCATTTCATAAGTATATTAAGCCTTGATTTGCTATGATGACCTAATGGAAAGTCGCGTTTATCTTTAAAAATGATTTCTTTAATTGAAAAAAAAAAAAAAATGGAATACTGGTTTGATCCCTCTCGGGATAACTTTTTAATGTCCACGCTGGCATACATTACAGAAAAGGGGACATCTACTAACACTTGTACCAACTAAATATAATGTTAATAGTAATAAGAACTACAAATCAAACTACTCTCTCTCGCTCTTGGTAATATTTTTCGTCGTCTCGCCGCAAAAATTGCTTGTAGAGTTGTTGTGATGGAGATAGGGCATGAATTGCGACCTGTCCAGCTCGCGGTTCATGCCACAAGATCATTTTTCGAGAATACATCACCTGCGTCCCTACGTATCTTATTAAAATTGGATATGAAAAACGCTTTCAATAGCATCAGAAGGGATCATGCCCTGGAAGTTTGCCATCAACGGACTCCTTCCATATTTAAACTGGCTCATCTTTCGTATAGTCATCCAAGTATGTTGATCGCCTCCGACAATATTATCTTTTCTGCTACTGGAATCCAGCAAGGTGATCCACTTGGTCCGCTACTATTTGCTATGGCTATTGACGGGCTAGCTCGTTTCATCGCTTCTCCTTTCAATATATGGTATCTTGACGATGCAACGTTGGGAGGATCCATCGAGGCCGTAGCTGCTGACCTCCGACTAGTTATTCCTGCTTTATCTCTGCGTGGACTTGAGATTAACTCGTCCAAGTAAGAGATAATCAACTTTAATTATACTGCAGATAATTTCGAGAGTGCTATCCGGGATATTAGACTCATCCTTGAGGATATTAAAATAACACCTAAGGAGGAATTACATATTCTTGGTTCTCCAGTCTTTCCAATGGCCATTTGAGAGTGTTTGGATACTAAGCATGTCATTTTAACAAGAATGACTGAGAAATTGCAATTAATTGATGCACACTCAGCCCTCTTCCTCTTGAAGAACAGTTTTCCGCTACCGAGTTTCCTCTACACTCTTCGAAGTGCCCCTTGCTACCTCGAACAGGATTTCTTAAATGAGATAGATATCACAGTTAAGAGATGTGCGGAGCTAAATTGCAACGTCAATTTCGACGACACAGGCTGGAGGCAGGCAAAGCTCTCTTTGAGTTTCGGAGGCCTGGGCCTTCGATCAGCGGTAGATTTGGCCCTTCCAGCATATCTTTCTTCACTTTCGTCCAGTCACGAATTAATTGATGAGATGCTCGGTGGTTCGTCTCAGTGTTTCTCGGGTAGTTCTTTCGAACAAGCTTGCAGCGTCTGGTCCCAAGAATTACTTTCTCTCCCACTAGACACATCAAAACAAAAAAGCTGGGATAAAATAAAATGCGAGACCAATTTTTCTAATTTGAGGCTCTCTCTGGATCAGCATCGTCTCACCTGTCTACTATCTGCTTCACAACCGAGTAGTGGCGACTGGCACAACGCAGTGCCCTCTTCATCTACCGGTACCCTTCTAGATGATGAGTGCACTCGAGTCGGAGTCGGGATTTGTCTTGGACTCAAATTATGTGAGCGTCACAGATGCAGATGTGGAGCCTCCATCGATGAGTTTGGTTTGCATCCTCTCTCCTGTCGTCGTAGTGTCCACGGCATGCAGCCATAAACGACATCATCAGAAGAGGCTTGGATGCAGCTGGCTTCCCTTCCCAAATCGAACCCGTAGGCCTCGACCGCGGTGATGGAAAGCAGCCGGATGGCATTACCATTTTCCCTTTTAAAATGACGTTGATTTGGGATGTGACCTGTGCGGATACATTTTCGGTCGGTAATTTGATCAGTTCCGCGGTTGAGCCAGGATCCGTCGCCCGGGACGCAGAGATGAAAAAAATAGTTAAATATTCTTCTCTTGCTGATAGATTTTTTTTTTACTCCTGTGGCAGTGGAGACTTCAGGGGTTATTGGCCCTCGTTTGATGGTGTTCCTTCGGAGGATTGGCGCGATTGCGTCTCGATTAAGGGACGAGCCTCGCGAAACGGAGTGGCCCTTGCAGCGTGTCTCACTGGCGATGGTTCGATGTAATACTTTCTCCATCATGGCGGCTAGCAGAGGATAGCTAAAAAATTGTTTATTGTTACGTTGTTCTGGAATTGTCATCAGTAGTCAACTGTACTTGTTTTGTTTCAATAAATTTTATTCGAAAAACAAAACAAAAAAAATATTTACCTGAAAGGCAATGATAGTCACTTTCACTGACTATGAATAAAAAAAGGAGCAACTAAAAGGAATTGATGCAATGAAATGCAATTATGAGATAATACATAATTATTTCGGGCTTATATTATTTTTCATCTTGCAGTTTTTCTCACATGTGATTTTATTTTTAAAGTGACTTTTAAAATTTTTGAGTACTTGTGATATGTTGATGGAATGCAATTTAGTTTTCACAAATCTCTGCCATCTGTTCATCTATTTGGCCATTTTTTTTTTTTTTTTTTTTTTTTTTTTTTAAATACCGTCTCCCTTCAGACGAGGACGCGATTATGACTCTCTATAGATTCCATTTTATCTTTGTCTGGGAATTACCATAATTGTTTGGGTAAAGTAGTGGAATGGTTCCCTGTTAACTTATCCAAGGTTTTGAATTCAGAGTAGTCCCTTTTCTTTGTATCATAACCAAGGCTAGAGAGTTCAATTTACCTACGTTTTAATATATTAAAGGAAAATAGGGAAAAGATGAATTCATGCCTTTCCGAAGGGCATAGTACGAAAGTGAATGCATGGGTTACCCCACTTTACTAAAAAAAAACGTCGCTACGGTTCACCTCTTAAGCCTATAAATAGGAAATGATTCTCACCCATCTTCACATTCAGTTACTTCTAGGCACCTTGAGGTGGTGTAATGGTTAGCAAGCTTGTCTCGCTAGAACAATTACGATTGAGTAGTGAGTTCGATCCTCACTGGGTGCCTCTTACTTTCGGCCTTGTCACAACCAAGCTACGCTTGGAAAATCACATTCAGTTACTTCTTTCTCGGGCTACTTCTACACAAACTTCATACACACAAACACATTCTCTAGTTTAAATGTTTTCTTTGATTGTTTATGTATACCTTTTGTTAATGAATGCGTTGACTTTTGCTTTATCTAACGTTTGTGTTACTCATTTATTACTTGGACTCAGTCAAGTCCGCAATAATTGTTATGGAAAAAATATAACGGCGGATACGGGTTTTCTACCTATACACGACTAGCATTCCCGCAACAAATGCAACATGCCAGTTCCGCTTTTTGCGCAGATAACCGTTACACTATCCATACGTTTTTATGCACATAGAATGATGGTATTTAAATGTTTTCTCAGTAATCTCTGGAGAACGCACAAATATGACTAGCAAAATGTCTAACAAAATTTTCTAATCTGAACTAAAACTTTGCTGCAATTTTTTCATAAATGCTCATAAGGTAGCAATGTAAAATGTCAAGGGTTTCTAAAATATCTGATCAATAATCTACCTGCATAACGAACAGTATGACTTTTATGTTTCTTTGTTTCTCTGTCCTTAATAATAGACTCACCCATCGGGTAATGATTTTTTTTCAATCTGATTTCTATTGTTATAGTAATGCTCGGCGTCACTCGACGCAAGTAAGCGTCGTGTTACCATAACAATGGAATTTTAAAAAATTAAAAAATTCCATTTTTGTGTTAACATGAGGCATGCTCGCTGCCATGATCGCTTACATCCTAAAGGGAAATTGCACATACAGATAAAATGTCTAAAAAGAAAGTGTGAAACATTCCACCAATGACCGCGGTGTCAACTCGTACACTTGTTTTAAATAAGTTAACTTTCAGTAAGCTTCAGATATTACAATAGCATTTGTTCTCTAGAATTTAAAAAGAAAGAGTAAGTTAGGTTCTTGTACAAGATGGAACTTTCCAAGGTGTAAATAAATAGGAAGCATAATTTCTTTTGCTCAATTTAACTGAGGCTCTTTGGAGTTTTCTGTCTCTTGCAGACTTGTACAAGAATATCTCAACTTATTTGCCCAAAGTATATTTTAAAAATAGTTTTCTTATTCAGTCTGTTTATTCAAATGACAGATGAAAATTGTTTTGCATAAATCTATTTAGAATTGGAATAATTTGAGATGTTTGTGATTAGCTCCAACGAGCAGAATCTCCCGAGCATTTAATGAGACTTGCTAGATTTTGTTTCCTTATTAAGAAATTTGGTAGAAAAATATCTATTAAATTGTTAATAGTTTTCTTAAAAGATTTTTTTTTTTTTTTATTAGGCTTTCACATATAAAGTTCTTGTTCGGAATAGAAGACCTGAATATACATCATTGTAGTCATAATGACATCAAAATTGCGTGGGAAATTTTATGTTATTTTATACGACAAATATATATTTTCTTGTAATTAAAACCTAAATTAAAACTTCGGAAGATGATATTTTAATTATTTCAATATATTTTTAAATTAAAACAGTCCATCGGAATAGCAAATCATACAAAACTAAATTCTGTAAAGTAATCCAGATAGTAACCCATTGCGTCTTAGTAGCTTTATTGCCTTGCTTGGGGTGAAATGATTTAAAAAATGCTTTGTTTAAATTTTGAACCTATGAATGCGATAAAACCAAAGAAAGGTCTATGCTTCTTTACACGACTTGCTGTCTGCGTTAACACTTCATCACTAAACTCCAAAGTGTCTTTTATTTTAACTACAACGAAACAGTACATACCGGGGTCTGTCTCTGTCGGTTGTTTAGCTGGGTGCAAAATTGTCTGTATTAGCTTTGACAGAAGAAAGAATAGAAAAGGACAGATCAGACTAGAGAGACGGGCATACGAAAGGTATACATACTCTCCCTTCACGTGGCCAAGTTTATTGATAAATTTCCCCGGTGTTTTGAAAAAGGAGTTTTGCTCTTTCATCCAACTAAAATAAAGGTAGATAAACAAGAGATTTTCTGTACTACAATATTTGCCTTCTGATCCCGTCATGGTTTTCACCTGCTGGAAGGGAAAACTTTTAGCATCCCGCTACCACTTTCTTATCAATGTTGAATTTTGTACAATTTTGTGCAAAAAAAAAAAAAAAATGGATCAGAGAGCCTACTCAGCTCAGTAAATATTTTGAGGAAATCTCAACTTCTGATTGGTCAATAAACACTCAAGTGGGCGTTGCAATCCACCCACGAACAAATATTTTTTCTAGCGCGTGACAGTCAAGTTTTCCTGCCAATTTTCTGCGATCCTGTCACGTGGTTACATTAATTATAAATAGCAGACACGAGCTTACTCATTCTCTTTTCTATTCCCTTTTCCTGCGAAGCTGTGGCCATAACGATTTCTCGTCTCGACCATAGGCGGCCAGACGTTAAAAGCATATTCACGCATGCCCGTACGTACGAAATTTTCCAAACTACATTACAAATATACAGAACATTTCTCTTTGAAATACTTTTCTAAAGCTACAGTTTGTTCAGCATTTTTCAGCTTTATAATTCATTCAACTTTTGTGAACTCAGATAAAAATATTTCAATCTCATTAATTCAGACAAAGGGACATAAGACCAAAACCTCTACGCATGTACACACAAAAATAAATATAAATGTTCATGTTATAAAACCGTTTCATATTTTGTGACATTTTACGTTAAATATAGTGTGGTCATGTTAATTAGCAGACATCTACAAATGGTCAATTCTTATTAACATCCTTCAACAAACTCGACATCCCCGACTAAACACCGGGACAACTCAGAACACATTTTTTTTTTTATCGAATAAAAGTAATTTAAGAATTTGTCGGAGTTAGCTCCTAATTCCCCAATTGTTCACTAGGGGTCGCTCTTCCTACACTATAAATATTGGGCGACTTCTCGCTTCTTTCTCACTTTGCATTTCAGCGGACCCATTTGAAAATGTGATCTCTTGTAGTTGCGTTTTCGCTCCCTGTGGGAAAACGCCATGAAACACACACGTACGTACGAACATTCACCAAAATACAAACTCTACGTTCACACACACACACAAATGTTGATGTCTTTGTCACTTGTAAATTTGTTGTTTAATACATATATTTGTTGACATATATATATATATAGGTCTTGTTTGTTTTCTTTTCATCTTCGATTGGACAACTTGAGTCCGGCAACTTTCTTGTAGTTGGACCTTCTAGCAGGAATAAATAGCACGTGTTCCTAATTTAACAACACGCAAACCCAAACGACTAACTACAAATTAAAATCTTAGTGAATATTTTTCTTTAAATAAGGCATTTGAAAAGGCATTATGTAAAATATGAACCAGTTTTGTTTTGTTTTTTTAATTAATTTTAATTTTATTTTAATGAAGTAAACTGTAAAGAAATTTGTACATTGATATATAAGAAAATAATTCAATAAAGCACTTGTTTTTAATTATTTCTTAAATAAAAAAAAAATGCAAAACAAA